GCCCCCCATCCTCCCAGTGTGCCGGGGAGATTCTTGCACCTCAGAACTTCTCTTCTGCATTGTAAGGCATTTGACAGACAATCCTTTCTTTGCTTCAAGCCACGTAATTTTGTTTTCCCTTATTTGCCAGCTTGCTTGTTTTCTAACTCTAATATACTTAAGCTTACTGTTAAACATACTTTTTTTTCCTGCCTCCTGCCATTATTGACTTAAGCAAGTGATGCTGGACTCGTATTTTGTTCAACAATGATGTATGGATCTTCAGTGTCTTCTGATGAGTTTCTGCTCCTACTTCTTGTCCAAATCAGGCGTTCTTTTAAAATGAGAAGTGCTTCATCTGTCACTTTCTGGCCTGTAGGGAGGCAGTGGCTGCAGTGATTTAATTTTACCAGAATGTTCTTTTTTTTAACTCCAATTGAATTTTTAACCTACCAAACTGTTTCAACTTGTTACTAACTTTCTGTGATTAGAACACGTTTGTCATCTCGCTAAGTGTAGATTAATCTAATTTTCCAGTGATCTGTATGTTTAACCTTTTAAGCTTATTAGTACCTAACCTTCATATTTGTGTCATTTTCCCCCCTCCTCATTGCTGGCGAAAGAATGGTGTTACTGGTAGCTGTTTTCCACTAAAACTGACTAAAATACTTAATTCAAAAATGCAGACAATATTAAGAGTTGAGAAACTGTCTTCTGATTCTTACAGCTCTGTATTTCTGTTCATGCTAACAAAATAACTAATATGTGAAATTGGAGTCAATTACAAGGAATACCTTTCATCACCTCAGTCTTTGAGTTAGGACAGAACTGCTTTTTAGACCACAACAGTTGACTGAACGAGTGATGTTTTTGAGATGAAGTTGATGGTCTTCAACTGAGAGAAGTTCACAGTTGCACGGAACAAAGCTTGGTGTGCTGCTTTGTTTTCAACCACTGGGATGCCTTTTCATCTCTAAATGACTCTGTATAACAATATTCTGCACACAATTCTGCCCTTTTTGTCCTTCTGTCCTGCACTGAGCAAGGCTACTGTTGTAAGGTGAGGGGAGGAATAGAGTTGGGGGAAGACTGATAGATGCAGGCTTCTCATACCCCCCTTGCTGTGCCATGAGCAATGTGGCCTTACTGCTTTCTGAATCCATAGTGCAGGAGCTGGGAAACAGCATGCAAGCATGACTGGGGTTTGTGGTATAACAGAAGCAGCAGCATCTTTTGGCCTTGTGTAGGCTTTGTGTTTGTGTCCCACCCCTGTCCCAGTCTATAACTATTCCTAGGTTGTGTTAGTACAGATTATCTTGAACTCAAAATTGTTGGTCTTGAGGCCAACGTATAAAAAAAGGACATACTTTGTAAACCTTAGGTATAGGTATTTGTAGTTGTGGCTCATTAAGCTCACGCTAGTGAATGCTTTTAATAATTCTGATAATTAGGGCAGGCTCTCCATTGTTTTAAGTGCAACTGCATGTTTGGAGAAAGTTTTATTCTAGCTGTGCAATTTGGATGACTTGTAAAGTATTTTTATGGTTACGGGCTTTGTTCTTTTAAGTTATCGGTGATTTAAAAGAACAACAACAAAGACAACCCAGAACAAACCCCCAAAAAACCCCAACCCAAAATCTGGGACTTGACTGTTTCCAATCCTTTCCCAGAATCCTGACAAAACTTCTGGAGGTTTCTGATGACCCACAAGTGCTGGCTGTAGCTGCTCATGATGTGGGAGAATATGTGCGACACTATCCACGTGGGAAACGGTAAGAAAGTTGCCAGTGTTTTTCTTACTCAAGAGACTAGCTCGAGTATATACTTTGCCTGTAGCTCTTTTTCTCGTTTATATTAAAATATGCTACATAGGGATTGCAGGTTATGCTTAAGTTTAATTCACTAGGAAGGTTAGAAAACACAAACTAGATCAGATGAGAAAATAAGAACTAGATCTTTGACTTAATATATTTTAGTGTCTCTTAACAGTGGAGGGAACCTATGTCTAAAGAAGTCTTGAGTAAGTTGTTTAGATTAAAGCAGAAGACATGCACCAGGAGAAAATAGAAGAGCTATCATGAATTTGATCAACCTATCATTTGTACCCTCTGTTATGACTATTGGACTGTAATTATTGGACTTGCAGTAGGGACGGAGTATTTCAACAATGATTAAGTCTATTTTGTGACTTAAGACTACTGAGACAAGATCTTTCTCACAAACAATTACTATTGTGATTTCAGTGATGTTAGCACAGATTCAGTTATCACTCTTCTATTTTAGAATGTTTTCTTTTAGCTACACAAATATGCATTTTGGTGAAAGTGTTAATGTTAATCATATACCCGAATTCCTGTCAAAATATACAGACAGACTTTGCTATATTTTCTTGCTTTTTTTTTTTTAAAAAAAAAAAACCCTGTGAGGAAAGATGTTTTGCTGATTAATTGCATCTCTAAGGTAGAGACCACTGAAGGAGAAAGGAGCCTTTGGTTTTTGCAAGGATCATGCTCATCATTCATTTTGTAGCAAAGGAGTGGTCTGTTTCTGCATAGGGTTTAATGGGGAAGATGAGAATGGTCTGCTAGGCTTTTTGGGAATTTCATGAACACTTCTTGTGCAGACTGCTGTCTCGACAGTAGTAGAATCATGAACAACAGACTGAAACTTCATGCCATATATATATGCTAGATAGATTTGTTCACTATAGAAAGACTCATAGCCCTTGTAGTCTTGTAAGGAACTTGAACTGAAGATATTTTTAGATTACTGGAACAAATTAACTGTTTTCTAAGCCCACTAAGAAAGGTCAGAGGTGTGCAGCGCGTACCACTTACACTGAGCAGTGCTGTGTATTTGCTAATTAGCTCCTGTGTCTTCCAAAAGAGACTTGTGACAACTGGTATCTGGAGGGTAGGCAAGATAGCCTAAAATAAGGTGGAAACTTATACTGCTGCCTGGACGTGGCAAAGCTGAAGGACTCATAGTTGCTCCTGCTTTGAGCAGCCCTTTGTCTGAAGCCGTTTTATTAGGCATTTGCCATAATCTTTAAACAGCTTGCACACATCTACCCAAATGGGGCATAACGCTTGGGCTAATATGGCCATGCAGTTGCTGGACCAAAGCTATGAAGTTGGATGAGTGGATAAATGGGACCTGTATCTCTGCAGTTGGGAAAATGTACTGCTGGTGAGACCACAGCTCTGCGCAGCTCCCAGGCTGTTAAACCTACACAGAAGTGCGTCAACCTTCAAAAGGAGTGGTCCTCAGCAAATAAGTGGTGTCCTAGACACTCTTCTAGCCCACATTCTTATATCAAGTTCTAATACTTCAGCTGCTTTCTGCTTACAGAGTTGGCTTATTTAGCTTTCTGTTCTGACGGACAAACTGAAATGCCTCAATCTCTTTCTTTTAAAGAATTTCCTTTGTAATCCAGTGTTTTCTTACTAAGTATGACTTCAGCAATTTTAGGACTAAAAGCTTAAAGTACCAAAGGACTGTGTCAGTTCCCACATAATGGTCCATTTCTTACTGTGATATTTTTTTTTGATACATAGTTGTTTACTGCTGCCATGCCTGGTTGGCATTTCACACTCCTATTGCATGACTCACTTTGAGAATGGATGCTATTCCTTGGTTTAGAAGAGTAAGATAATTCAAATGTCTTAAATGCTTTTGTTTCCTTTAAGCGTTTATCCTCAACTCTTAACTGCATTATCCTTCAGCCTTCAAAGGTTGCAAAGGTGAATTAGAACCTAAAGCTTCTTGAGTTTACCTGCCGCACACAGCGGAGACCTAGAGTTACAGTTCTGGCTAACCTTTCCCTTTGTCTGACACAAGAAAATGTTTGTTAAACTAAATACCGCTTTTTTGCTTGGCTCTAATGTGGCCAGCATAAATAATTTTAACTTGCCTTTAAAATTGCACATTGTGGGCCAACTTCTCAAGGCAATAGCACTGTGGGCTTCTAATGAGGCTCACTAGCAAGTGTTTTCTGACAGTGTAGGAGCAGAAATAAAGTACGGCATTCGTGTTTTCCATAACCGAAAATAAATGCAGGCTGAACATTGGCCTGCAGTACAACTTCTGTGTGGCCCAAGGGATACTGCTATGTAAGATCAACACTTTCAATCAGCTGAATGCCATGAACATGGGGTTTATGTTTTGCATGTACAATATTGACACCTAGAGCCATTCCCTTCTTTAGTTTGTGATTTAGAAGCAGCTTAATTGCATTCCCTCTTTCACCTTGGTAGCTACGTAGCATGGATTTTGTATTAATATTTTCTGCTATAACTGTCTAAACTGTTCTCATTTGTCTTCAAGTTCTGTTTCCTCTTTCTCCCTTTAAATGGGTCATGTTAAAATCTGGCTCTTCAGCATCCAGAAACTCGTTTGAATTGCCACTGTTTTGGCTTAGTGTACTATTATTATGGGGAACAGTCCCTGCAGAAGATGTGCATATACTGTAACTGGCCCACTGGGCTCTATTACTGCTGTAAAGTAAGCAGAAGTTGAGGAGAGGGAAAACAGAATTAGAAGTAGTGTTTGAAGCAGGTTTGGAACTTGAAAGAGCAGAATTCACTGTGAACCTTCCCCACAATTGCTTGCCTCTTGGTCTAAAACACGTCTGGGAAGTGATTTGTACCAGTAGGCAGTGTTATGCAAGAATGGTGATGCCGTTCTTTGTCTCTTCATATTCTCAGCCATAATTTCAGTGATGTACTGTCATCTGAAATAATCTATTTCCGTTTGTGATTATGGGATTTTAACTTTACATTTTGTTTTTTGCGTGCTCCTAGCGTAAGGAAACTTTTGAGTTTAATGCCTTTTTTTTGCCTCCTTTCAATTCCTGAAAATTCAGTGTTTAAGTCAGTCCTGTAATGAGGAAAAAAAATCTTGTGTTTCATAGTCTTGTCTTTGTGTGCAGTGGTTTTGTATTTAACTCATGATTAAAAATGTGAGGCAGCCTAAGGCAGGCATAAAAGGTTTTTTTGAATCTGTTACATTACTAATAACTTCTTGAATTCGTGGTAAGGATTTTCCAGCTTAAAACAATTGCACTCTTCTGAATGCAGTCCTGTTGTATGAAACATCCTTATGTGTTTTAATACTGTTGGGAAATAATATTCCCTGTGGTCCCCAGAATGGTTTTGGCTGAGTTATAAAATGAAATGGAAATTCTCTTTTTCATCTCCACACTATATCTTTATACTGTTCTGCAGTTTACAAAACCATGTTGTATTGTGCAGCAGTAATGCATTAATTTGGCCATGAAAAGAACAGTAATAAAAGCAGACAGCTAATGCAAGCTTCAAGTGGCAGGATAGCATTGGGTTAAGAGTAATGCAAATGATAGCCTCTTCACAGGGTATTATGTTTAACTACTCGGTGACCTGTGAGAGAATCGATGTAACAAACATATGCAAGTCAGTGAGTAATCAGCTTATATATTCCTTGCAAATTCTCTCCAAACTTTGTTATGACAGACCAAAAGTCTGCATGTAGACAGCCATCCGGATGGTGATATTTTTTTTTTTTGAAATATCTTCATGACATGTGATACAAGGTTTCATCAGTATTTCATGTGGGATTTGCTATAGCTATTAAAAAGCTATGGCTGACTACTGTGGTGAAGCTTGTAGTGAAAGATGCGGTTCAAACTTACCATTTTTCTGGAAATGGTAACTTAGCAGACAGTTCTGCATCTTGTGCAAGAATAGCTGTGTCTCTGGTATAGTCTGAATGGCAAAAAGCGCTTTGAGGAGTACCAAGTGGCTGGTTTAATAGGTGTTGGTGTGATTGCAAGCATTTTTTCTGAATTAGGCAGTGCTGGACTGGATTGGGGGGTTATTCCTGCAAAAAATGGAGTGACCTGGTTATCATCAGTTTATGGAGGGGAGGGTACTACCTCTTTCTAAATAATAATTGGTAGTGCCCAACCCTGTCAAGCCGCTATTGTCAAGCCACTATTGAGTTCTTTAGCAAGCTGGGTAAATAGAGAACCCTCTCTGGAAAGGGTTCCTTCCTTGATTGTTGTTTATTTCAAAATTTATGGAAGTAGGTAGTTGGTAGCAAACAAGAGTTAAGTACAAATGCTTTCTGATGTTGTCAATTATTAAAAAAAAAAAGTAACTTTTTTATAGTTAGTATGAGAGATCTGCATTTATAACGTGTCAGATAAGATGTATGTGTTAGGAAATAAATAATTTTAATAAAATAAATATTATGTGACTTAAACTTAACATCTTAATGACCTGAACATGAAGTGGTTGGAGAGGATAGCTAACCAGAAGCCGAAGTAATGTCAAGAGATCTTCTCCCTTCTTCTCTTTCAGAGTGATTGAACAACTTGGTGGTAAACAGCTGGTAATGAACCACATGCATCATGAAGACCAACAAGTTCGTTATAATGCACTACTGGCTGTGCAGAAGCTGATGGTTCACAACTGGTATGTGAAGATCATTTAACATACTACTAACAGTAAGAAATATTGGGCTGTGGAGGGAAGATTCAAGACAGTAGATTTCTTTAAGGGGGGAATAATGTTTTAATATGGTAAGACTGCAGTTTTTAAATGATAGAGCAAGACGATGCTGATGTGCAAGATCATAGCTAGTTTTTCTGTATATTTTTGTTGCAGTTGAATTGAGTAGCTTGACCTTCCATGACTGAATGTCACATGAGTAATTCACTCAAACAATAAACTTTAACTTATTTGAACTGCTTAATATTTAATACGAGCTGTAATTTAGGCTTGCAAAACAGTCTTCAAAATGCTAACGATGTGTGTAGGTTTTTTAGCAAGTTTAGTTGATCTCAGCTGAAGGAATCAGTAGCTCCCAAATGACCATTCTTTTGCATTGTTCTTTGCTACCTGGTCCTTTCCCCCGTTCCACACTGTTATTTTTTTCTGTTGCCATTTTAAGGGGTGCAAGTACAATTTTTCTTGAGCTCTTGGAGTAGCAGAAGCTTATGGGCTGGTTGCTTAGATGAAGTTGAAAATCAGTCACTGGTATCTCTTTCATCAATTGCTGAGAATATATTTAAAGTGAGGTTTTTTTTCTGTCATTGTTTGGCTAGTTCTCTAGTAAAACCCCTGAAGTCCTGGTGTTTCTGCCACATTACTTACTGGATGATGATGCTTTTCTGACAGGCCACAGGACCCTTATAGTGAAGTGTTGAAGGGCTGAAGTTCTGAACAACTTCACTGTTCACATAATAACTTTGCCAAACTCATTAGGTATGCTAAGCATAAAGCACGGAGAGTTAAAAATACTAATTAGGAATTCTTAATGTGATTATTAATTATGATTTCACCAAAGCTCGTGTTTCCAATTTGGCATTGCTTTAGAGAAAGATAAATTGCAACAGTACATCTGAATACATTGGAACATAGATGTTGAGATACAAACAACTAATTTTGTTTTGAATTAAACAAGCCTTTATTTCTGAAAGGCTTGGTGCTTGCAAGTCCCTGTAACTTCTGCCAGTTTTTTCGCTTCTGACACAATGTGATCTTTTTTAAAAGGCTGAGTAGTGATGGTGCTAACAGTGTGGAGGTGGTAGGGAAACAAGGTTTATCAAGCACATTCAGACAGGTTCTTTAAGTCACCTACTTGCTCTAGAAGACAGGCTAGCAAGGCTGACAAAAAGCTCCTGTTCCCTCTCCCTGCAGTGTATTTTCTAGCTTTCCCCCTTTTCTTCTGAACAATACAGATTTTAACTCTCGTGTGTGTTATAATATTCATTTTATCCTGCTTCCTTGCTCTCTCATACTGTGGGAACCTTCTAGAGCAGAGGATCACACGTTTAAATAACCTACTATGACCAGTCCAGAGTTAACATTCCCCACAAGGAGTACTTTGGTAAATCACATTGGATTTGTGGGTGTGTGGAGATGGAGACTAAATGTGTGGTCATGTGCAACCTAATTTTTGGCGGCAGTATTGTATGTTGCACTAAAATATACTTGCTTCTCAGTTTGGTGATATGCTTCATTTCTCACTGTGCTGTTCTGATATATTTGAAATATTCTGAGTATTGTAAACCGGCTATAGCTAAATAGAAATTTTAGAGTAGTTACTGAATTTACCTTCTGCAGGGGAAACAGCTCTTATTTCATGTGTATTCTGATGTCTTGAAAATCTGGTAATAAAAATATAAAACTCTGGTATTTCTCCAGCACAAACCTCACTAGTAGTAAAAGTTTTTCTGGATGCCTAACCTGGCTTTTTCTCATTTTCAATTTAAGCATATGAATTTTAAAAATGTCACATCTGGTCTTCTAGATTTGTCTTGTTTTTTTAATGGCATGAACATTTCTGTGCCTGTTTTTCACAGTTTGTGAACCTGTAGACTTGAGACTGAGGAAGATTGCAATTACATCTAGTTTCAGATCTTCAGAGGTGTCAATAAAAAGGATCTGTTTAAGTTAGTGCCACTTTCACATTCATATTGTCAACTCTGTAGGGAATATGTTCTTGTTTAATTCTTACTGGAACAAGCCTCTGGGATACATTGTCTTTGGCTTCTATTTGCCAAAGTAGTGTTCCCCCTGGAATGGGCATCAGATAGCTTGAGCTAAGGAAATGACTCATCATTTGTATAGGGCAAGCGAGATCTGTCTTTGCATAGATCTGGCTTTTGATGTGTGTCAGGAGCTCTTCTGCTTCATAGCTTGTGTGGGGAGAAGAGAGAGCAGTCCCCCGACTGCTGCATAGTGCCTCCTTATTTAGATTTGCTTTGTCATAAGATGGATTACTCAGCAACTTCAAGGTTTTGCTTACCTTGCTCTTCAGAGCTGGGGAAACAATAATTGTTTTCCCCCTTTCTTCCATGTGTTTTGGAATTACAGTTATTTCATGCAAAGCAATTGCTTTTTTCCTTGAATTTAACTGGCATGGAACAACTCTGCGTTACTATGAGATGCATGCGTGACAGAGGTAGTCAAGTCTTCCTAGATCTGGAGGCTAACTGGGAGAAGGATGAGAAAATAAGCATAAGAAATATGAAATAAGAAAAAATAATAAAACAAGCAAGCCTCAACCTGGCTTGTTCTGTCAGGTAGAGGCTTGGTGCAAGTGCTGTGCCTGAAGCAGCAGAGTAAGGAAAACTGGTACCCGAACTGAGGGAGTGTCAGTGGGGCAGCTGAAGTGGCATTCTGCTTAAAATGCAGCTGTATCATTAGACTGCTAATAACTTGGAGACAATTAACTCCTAAGTAACTTGAGTAGTTCATTACAGGCTGCTCAACTGGCTTTTCCTTAGGGGTTTTTAAGTCAGGGATAAATGGGTAAATCAGACTGTCACGCATTCTGTTTAATGGTGAAACTAGGTTGGCAAAAGCAGTGACTGCTGTCAGCTTTTCAGATGAGGTAAGTTCAGGTGAAATATTCCAGTTGCATTTGCATGTTAAATGAGCATGCACTTGATGAAGCAGGGAGCGAAGGTATCTTTTTAGCATCACTTAACATCTTTAAATGGTAATTTATCCTGTGTGTTAATCTCACTTGAACTAACTGTATTAGTTCCAGCACCCCATGCTGATGGTAAAAACCTGTTATTGGCAGATGGGGGAGTTCAGCATGGCAATGATGGTGCAGATTTTTGTGTCCTGTTTAATTTCTGCTTTAACTATGTATGAGAAACGTAACCTCCTTTGCTGGTGTTCAGAGGCAATACCCAACCTGACCATTTTAATATTAGGAACTGGCTTTGGGAACCTAATGCTTGTTGGAACGATGCTTTTAATGATGCACACTTTAAAAGAATCAAATTGTTAAGTTCTAAACTGACAGCACTTACATATATCACTTTAAAGAAACCCAGTATGTTAATCTTTACAGATGAAGCATGTGCCTTTTCTGTGCTTCACAGCACAACATTTTACTGAACTTCAGGGATGGGATGTTGTGACTCAAAGCACCTACAGTTAGAAGCCCAAGTTCCTTCTACGGACGATGGAGAGAAGCAGCTTGTTTTTCAGGGCAGTGCAGAGCAGCTTCAGTGCCTGCAGTTGAGTGGTGGGAATAATCTCCTGCCTTTAAGATTTGTGAACCTATAGTCTCCTGGCTTCATTCAAAAGGGGTTAATTCCAGCCTTCTATTACTTCTATTCTAGAGCTAGATGAAGAACTAGGTGAATTTCAGATGTTCTGCATTTAATGTGCAATCTATTTACTGATCATAGTGCATTTGTTTCCACCACTTGATTGTCTTCTAGCAGGGTTAGGCCCAGGGAAGTTTGCTCATGACTTGTGTAGTAAGTGCAGCATATTACTGTTTTTCTTGCTCTGTCAGCAGCAGTGCTGTTGGGAGTTGGTGACTAGAGGTCGGAAATAAGAGACAGTTGTTAAAACATCCAGTCTAGCTGAGATGTGCAGACATAGAGCATGTGTGCTCTTTGTGCTCGCAAGTGTAAAGTAAAATGCAGTGGTTTAACCTCTGTAGGTCAAAAGTTCATACAAGTGCTACTGAAACAATGGTGGATCCAGCTGCAAACTCATTTATTTTTCCTCTGGGGTAATAGCAGAACTCATAGCATCTTTTGGCATTTGCTGCCATTGACTAAACTCCTGGACTGTGTTGCCCCACCTTTCTGCTTACGCTTTAGTAGTGAGCTGCTGTTAGTGAGGGATTGCGTCTCTTACCTCTGGGTTCAGGTATGATGCCTCATCTCCCCCGGGTCCTTTTACCTGTGCAGGCTCTGAGCTAAAAACCTTTAAACAGACAGACTTTTAGAATAAACTGCCATTCAGTGAATTGATACCAACATGGAGAGTACGAGTATCCTGGAGGATGCTAAACAATGGGAGTTAGGATGTGTCATTGATGCACAATCAAGTATGGTATTGAAGTAAAATTAATAAATGGTGTACTGAATGACACAACATATTCAGATAAGCTTTGAATATGCAACAGATTCATATATGATTTTCAGAGTGCACATCCCAGACAAAATTACTTGCTTTCCATCCTTTAAAATAACTAGTTATGCAGAGACACATTAAAAAATGTGAAGCTGCCTAGGATTTGCAGTAGGCTATATTCAGAAGCTGTTGTTCTATAGAATTAGCATGGAATATTCAGCACTTGTCACTATTCTCTGGTATAATTCTCTGGTATAAACTTGTTTTCCAAAGCCCATGTATCTCCTAAGATAGCTTCTGTACCTTGCTTGCTTTTGGAAGTGAGAAGTGCAAGGTGTTATGATAGTTAACTGGCAGCTGTGAAGCTTACACCCCCTCTCTTTTTTTTTTTTTTTTTCCCTGTCCCACCACTCAGACATGTAATGCTTAATAGCGTGGACTTAAATCTAGGAAACAACGCCTACATGATAATGCAATCCACTCTATTTACTTATCTTGTTTCTTAGCCTTAATCGTCAATACAATTCCTTTTTAGTAGTTAACAGAAGTTAACTGAAAAGTTTGAGAAGACAGACTGTGTCCCTGATAAAAATTAGTATTTTTTTTAAGAGGACAGTTCCTAGCTAGAATGAGACACCAGGCAAAAATCCAATAAGTTGTAGGCACATTTGATATGACTATGAGTGCTCTGTCTTTTTATTTGAACATAAATATGTATTCTTGTAAAACTTCATTCCATACAGGTGGGGACTGTGCTTTGTATTGTGCACATGCTTTCTGGGATTTCACACTGCAATCGTGTTTTCTGTCATGAGATCTGCACTGTCTGTAAAACGAACTTTAATATTTCTAGAGCTTCTGTTAACGTGGAACAAATATTCGGTAAATATAGAACATCCTGCTCAGTTTGCATTTTCTTTTTTCCAATTGTTCATTTTTCATGTGCTATGCTGAAAAAGCATGTCATCAAAGTAGTAACTTTTTTTATAGTTTCAATTCTGATTAGTGTTACTTTAAAGATTAGATTTCCTGATAGGAAAATTCAGTTAAGTATGGTCTACGTCAGTCATTCTGAAATATTCCATGCAAACTTAAAGCTCTTGTGTTGAAAGCATTTTGCTTGCTGTTCATTGTGACAACTAAATATTCTGATTAAATACTTCATGCATTCATAGCGCATCTTATAAGTGAAAAATAACTTATACCTTGTCTCCCTAATAGAAGGGCATATATTGAATGGAATTTCATAGGTTTTTCTTTCAAAATCTAATAAAATATTTGAGTAATAGCCTTGTAATAGGAGCTCATTGATCTGCTGTTTCTTTATAGCTTGTATGTAAAGTTGTGAACTGGAAGTCTAGAATTACTCTTCCAAAGAACGGACAAAACCTCTCTGAAGGTTTAAAGTCTCAAACTGCTGAGTGAAAAGGAGGTTCTTGCAGCATCTCAGTCTGAAGACACACATTAATTTTGCATTTCACATCATAAGGAGGACTGTAAACCATGCTATGAGCAATGTTTTCAGTGATCAGGAGATAATCTGTAGATTGTCTATTAATATTATTGCATTCAGTGGAAGACAGGATCCATTTTAAAAAAAACCCAACCCAACTTTCATGTAATGTTTATAATCCCTCTGCTCAATCATTCAGGCTGTTTAGTTCTAGTGTGCACATCAGAATGTCGAACATCTCTTTACTGTGAATAATTAAGGTGAAAAAATGTCCTAGGTGCTATTCATCTTAACAGTTTGCTTTTATTCTACCTCTCTGCATTAAGTGGAGTCTGTTACACCAAGTATTGTGAATTGCAGATATTTTTGCAATACCTCCTCTCTCTTGAGATCTAAGGCCACATGTGTAGGTCAAGGAGATACATGGTGAAAATCACCATGATTCCACTGAAAAGATAATTCATAAAAACTTCAATTTGATAGTGTGGTGAGGCCCAAACTGTTTGGTCAAAGTAGCTTTGATTCTGTTGCTTACATTTGTTTCTTTGTTTTTGTTGGTTGGTTGTGCTGGCTTATCTTCAGCACTACTTATGGTCTGCATTGGTATAATAAATACTTCATAATCTTTAACACCTTTTTTTTTTTCTTGAGATACTTCTTATTGCATTAATACACTGGGTCAGGGAAGAAAACTGTATTCAGCAAACAAGCGACAGAAGAGAACTGCAGTGTTCCTGTGTGGTAGCACTCCACCTTGGGCAGTCTTTCCAGCCCAGCTCTCTAGGAAGATGTCTCTTTGTTTATTAGTTTACTACTTTCATAGCTCTACTACTTCTATTTACTTCTGTGAAGAGCAGTGCATGTAATGTATAAAAAATATATATTGGATATTAAAAATATATCTAGTATATATTATATATAAAATAATATATTAAAATATGCAGTGTTCTAATTTCTGATCTAGCAGTTGACATGTTAGTATTGTATTTCAGGAACCAAATATTAACATAGCTCCAGGTTTGAGTTGTTCTGCCTTCTCAGAGGCCTCAGAGCCTTCTTGCTGAATACACTGTACTATAGTTTGATTTTAGTAAGCCTTGAACATGCATCTGAACCAGTGTAAGCTATGCAATAGTTGTACTTTCACGGATTGTTAGCTAGATTGATTTTCCTACTTCTAATTAATTGTGTAGGAATTCCACATTCAAAATGGTTCATGTGTGCTTTAAGAATAAATAACTTTGCAGACTTGAGATGCTGTGAGCAGAGCAGTGTATGCAGCAGGTGTCAGTTGCTATCAAGGCTGGATCTCAGAGAAGACATATTAGAATCAGTACGTGCATATAGACATGAAACAGAAAAAAACCCAAAACACTGAGGGAGCAGAAGGAGGCTTGGTGAGTTTGGAAGCCCTTCAAAATTGCTGGCTCTGTTTTTTGATGGCTGTCAAATTTTGTTTATTTTGGTGGTACAATTTTGAGTCCTGTAAAACCGCAAGAGAGCAGCTAATTTCCTTCTGTGCCATCAGGAGTCTCTACTTTGAAGGTGGTAACATACCTGTTATGATCAAGAGTCATATCTAATGAGTGCAGCCCAAGCATTAAAATACTGTGATCCTGCAGCAACACCTGATAAAGCTGTGAAGGAAGGTGCTAAATCATGACATATGGCTCAGCATACAAATTATGTGCTATTTTCTTTGCTAGAGGAGTTTGAAGTTAACATTATACTTTATTGGAATTTTGCTTTTCTAGATACTTAACTTTAAAACTGAGAAGTGCTGCTGAGTGGTACAGTTGTGATGCTAAACTTCATTGTGTGATAGGAATTGTAATGCATAGGGAATAGCTGGTCAACAGGACACTAAACTGAAAACTAGTTTTTGAAATGTGCCATAAGAACTGATCTTTTTTTCTTTTTTTTTTTTAAATACGGGAAAAGTACATACCTTTTTTTTTAAAAAAAAAAAGGCTTCATTCTGAACATTTCTCTGATCTGCTTCTAATGTTCAACCTGTGTAGGTTGAAATACCTGTGTATTGAGAAAAACTGTGGTACTAAGTGTGCGATCAGCAATGCAAAAAGAACGCCTATGTTTCACAGGTCCTGAAACCTCTCTTCCAACTGATGCAGTGGTACAATTACTGAAGTTTATTTCCTGTAACAAGCAACAACCCAGATATTACTGAAGAACTCTTCCAGCTTCTTTGTGGTTCTGTGAAGCGTTGAGTTGCTTTCACAGGAGACAGTGAAAGATGGGAACATTCAGAAGAATTGTTCAGTATTTTTCCATAGAATTTAGATATTGTTGCTCAAGGCAAATGCTAAGAATCTGGGAGGTGTTTGTTCCAGTGTTGAGAGGACAGGTATAAAATAAGTGACTCGGTGCGCTTCAAAATACAGGTGAGGAAAACACTTTAAAGAAAGTGTTGGTATACAGTGGGCCTGGCTTGAATATATTTTCTGTCTCCCAACTTGAACATACAGTTATTTAATCAGTGTCTGTTTTGCTAGCCTATGGGTTAAATTGCCGGTATGTCCATCGGTATTACTTGTGCTCGTGCAGCTGGGTTACAGGAAGAGATCCTTTTAAATACGTCACCACAGCTTCCAATGTGTATATCCAGCAAGCAAAATCCATGGGCTTTGTAAGTGTTCCGTAACAGTTGCTAGGACTTCTAAGTATTACCACTGTGCTTCTTTTTTCCAGACAGTTTTGTTGATGCTTGGTTTGTACCGTATTTTCAGAGGGATAGATGATGGATACCTAAAGCTTAAGTACTCTCATAGTTGACTATCAACAGTAGACCCTATTTGAAGGAATAATTCCAAACCTAAAGCTTTTTCCTCTTTCTCTGCTTCATACTTCCCACCACTATCCTACTCCCTGCTCTCCAGAATGTTTCTCAATCTAATTTTTTGTTGTATTTCAGGGAATACCTCGGAAAGCAGCTGCAGTCAGAACAACCTCAAACGGCCACTGCACGAAGCTAAACAATTCCATCAGTTCATGCTTATAACTACAGTATGTTTGTCTTCAAATTAATATCAAGGAAGCACTGAAATCACATGCTCTTTGCCTGCTACTAGCCTTTCCCAGCTTTTCCTCTAGTCTTGTTGGCTTAGTAAAAATTTGTTTGTTCAACTAGTTCTGATGATTATGCCTATTAGCTTCTTGTTACATTCTGAATGTATATGAGGAAATGTGGCTAATATATTGCATTTGTTTTATGTATTTATTCTCATAATAAAGAATGTTATTAAAGGATATTAATTCCATGTTATAACTAACCTAGAAAAATTGTTCTCTTTTAGTGGGTTATCGGTGTTTTCATTTTCCAAGAACAGCAAGTAGTCCCTATGTGTCTCCAGACAAATTAATAAAGCTTTGACTTGGTGTTCTGTAGGAAATGCAACAGACTGAGAAATGTTGATTATCAGTACTTAAACGTATGCCAAGTCTCAAAACAGTGTTAAAATTGAATATAAAAGCAAATGTCTGGGGTTTTTTTGGGGGGGTGGAGTATTTCTCTGTTGTTAGAGACTACATTGAGAAATCTGGACATGAGGGGAAAAAAAACCTGATACACTCAAGATTATTAGTCAAGTTGTATAACATCAGTGTTAAGGCTGTAGATCAGAAATCAAGGTGGTTTTTTTTTTTAATAACAAATGAGTAGTAACTGATGAACTTGGAATTTCATGGAGTATTTTTGTTACTGAAAATACTTGTACATGTTAGGGTTCTGGTGTCATCTTAAATCTATTTTATTTCCTTTATATAAAGCCAAATAATTCGGCTATCACATCTTTTCTGTGTTTTGCAGCTCCCAATAGTAAAAAAGATGTAAGCATCAATAAATCAAAAATTATACTAGATTGGCATGTGAAAATAGTCTTGTTGCATATATAGGAGCTTGGCTCCGGGCACTTGCAATACTAAGCAGTTGTATTCTTGTAATTCATTCTTAGAATAAAAAAAAAAATAAATGAGAGAACATGACTTAATCTCATCAGTGGTCTGGTGCAGTGCAAGTCTCTGAGGAAGCTTAGGGTACTTTGTCATCAAGTAAAGAAAAAAGCAAGTAAAAAGAAAACAAATTGGGAAAACTTTTCTTACCCAGTCTGAATTTTCATCTTATATAACTAAAATTTGACCACGGTTGCAACAGAGAGCAAAGACAGTTAGGGGATGACACTTTGATTTCTTGGCCTGCTTAATTAAAATTGGATTGCGTAGATTAATGATTGTTGCTTACTTCTGCATATAGGAGGCATAGGCTTTGATATTGGAGCTAGTATCATGATGATAGATGCTGAAGCCTGAGAAGAACTAAACTGACTTTGGTTGGAGTGAGGGTTATCTGAATGGATGTTATCTCAGGGCTGCATTCTCCCACAGTGATGAAGGATGCTGTTGGAGTGGGAAGCTGATGGGATAACAAGGGTGCACCTACGCTGCCATTTTTATCTTGGGTTAGTTGAATACTCTTGAAATAAATCAGAGTCTTCCCTCCTTTTCACACTTCAGTTTGCATCATGTGGTGGTGTCAGGGCATGAATGGGGCTCTTCTCTGATAAAGCTAAACTGCAGGACATACGTCCTGTGTGTCTTGGCTTCTTAGTGAGTGTTTAGTCCACCGGACCAGCTAAGACTTTGAATGGCCCTTTGAAATGCATGCAGAGTGAAAGCTGGATTCTTAGCACCACATGTCTTGCTCTACAAGTCAGATTCTCATGTCACACTTCTTGCTCATGTAAGCATAGCCTAAGACTTAACTTTTGAAGATGCTGTAACATTGGGCACAAGAACCATGACAGGGCATTAATGGGGAAGGAATATACCCCCATCTTCAAAACCAGAAGTTGTGTTGTTTCCTTGTCTGAAGGGAACGCTGAGGCAGTGCTTGGTAAGGGAATTTGGGTTTGAGTTGTATGAGTAAAGACAATGAATGCTACCGATGGCAACCTCTCCTATTTTTGGGGAGCTAGAAATAACCAAGCTATTCATAACATGAAACAAAACTGCTTACGGGCTTGTCCTGAAACATCTAAATGCTGTGTTCATGTACTATACAAATAAATTCTCCTCTCCCATTGCTTTGCTAGTATTACTCTGTGCGTAGTTTAATTTGTTGTTATGTGGTTTGTTTCCAAGCTACGTGATACCTGGCATTCTCCTCCATTTAGTTAGAAATCTGTTGGAGACAGAAGGTGGTATTTAAAGAAATGATTGTGATGTTTCACTTACCAGTGTGCAGCATTGATACTGCGGTGCCTGTAAAACCTGAAAGCCGTCTGATTTGCAGCCCCTGATGATAACATTCAGGTGGCTCAAAGGTTGTGATCTAGGGGAGTGCATGCCAAAAACTGTACAGCCTGGGAACTTGGGCGTTGTGGGGGAGTGTGTTATGGAGGACCTTTCTGTGCAGCCAGTAATTTGGACTGTGAAGTTGCCAGAGCTGAGATTTCTGTGGGAGTCGGAGTGTTCACCGTGTCCTAGAGGTCTTGGGGAATCTTGGCATAGCAGGGAGCTGCAGAGCGGCTTCCAGCTATGGATTCTCCATCTCCCATCCCATGGGATGCCTGCATCTGTAGAGGATGGAAGGCCTTGGATCCATGGTCCTAAGAGAGAAAATGGGGCAGAGCTGTCCTGGAGCTTTCAACCTTTGAAATCAGGAAACTCGACCAAAAGCTTTTGTTGACTTTCAACTAATTCATAAATCTTTCTACTGCATCTGGGGTTTGTCCGATGAATTATAATTAGCTTTAGCTTTTGCTGCTGAGCACTGTTCTTACTATTCATACGTGTGCGTTAGCTTGCTTAACTTGCTCAGCCTCATTCTCCCAAAATCTGGCATGGGGCAGGTAGGCAGATGCCACGGCGGCAGATGGAATGCCTCAGGGCTGTGCGATGGCAGCGTGGGTAGAGCTCAGTGTTAGGAAGAGAAGTGTGTGCCAGCAGCTTCCTTCCTTCCTTCCCTCTGGTGACATGAAGATTTAGAGATGACTGGAGATTAGCTGCCATGAACCAGATGACTGACTTGCTTCTAAAGCTTCTAAAGTGAGGAGTTTTAGTTACTTTCCTCCAAATTAGAGTAATCAATCTTCTCTTTATGATCTTTTTTCCTCCATTTTCCTAATTTTGGTTTCTTTTATGTTGCATCCAAGAATAAATGGAGTTTAATTTTCCTATAATGAAAGTAACCAAGTCTTTGAAATCTTCATAAGCTGATTTTAAAGTTTTGCGTTTGAGGTTTCTTTTGCTTTTCATGATATATCTGCTTAAATTATTTTCTTTAAACTTTGGTCTTGGTCTGAAATCTAAATGAGAAATAAATTTGAGTAAGTTTGCAACATGCAGCAACTGTGAAAAGAATTTAAAAGTGTCACAACTCAAAACAGGAGAGATGGAAGGGAAACATGATGAAGAACCGTACTGACACCTGGAACGAAGGCAGGAAAATGCTTTAATCATATGCTCGGGGCATGTTTATCATTCCCATGAGCCGTTTGAGATCCTAAGGCCTGCAGCTGGGTGAAGAGGAGGCCAGATCTTGGTCTTGGCCAGAGTGAGATACTCCTAGAAACTAAACCAGGGCTGAGCAGGAGATGGGCTGCCAGGGCCCTGGGTGTCCCACGCTGCATCAAACATCTCTCCAGTATCTCATCAGAATTGCAAAAATGTTTTTGTGCACCTGCATGAACAAATGAAAATTGTCAACAATTGCTAATACTCAGACCTACTGGGTCAATATATTCTTTTTTTTTTGTGTGAATATGACATGCTAGTTTTAGCCCAGCAAGTGACAAGGGGTCAGAAGGAGTCCTGTTGGCTCATCTCTATCCAGAAGCTTTTGCTTTTCCCCTTGGCAGCTTCTGCAGAGTAGTTGTGAGCTGTCTTTTTAGAACCGCGCGCTGTGTCAGAGTTGAGAACAGAGCTAGTGCTCTCACGATGATCAGGTACATTAGTAACTTGATTATATTCATTTTCTCTCGGACTCCAAAATAATTATTCGAAGAATCTGAACTTCTGTTGCAATTTTCAGATGGCCATGGGTATCATCATTCAAACACCACACAAAGCAGCAGCCTTGCTTTGGTGTAGCATTTAGGGAATTACCTGGGAACTCTTCTTATGTTGGGGGACGCATAGTTCATCAGTACAGCTGGTTCTGAGATGTGCTAAAAGCTGTTAATAGCCTTTAAGAAATCTTTTCATGACCTGCCTCTTGGCCTTACTGCTGCTTGTAAGCTAAGTTACTGTACAGTAAGGAGCCTAATAAAAACCAGAAATGGATTAATGGCTGGCTGTTACGTGGAGTGTCTTGTTTCTGTTACTTGGTTGGATCCAAGAGCATTTCTGTACTACGGGAATGTACTTTTTCTTGTCTGGGGGTGGGGGAGAACTTAAAAAAATCCCTCTTCATACAGAAGTGGGCAGTGGGACAAAAATTATTATTTTTTTTTTTTAACCTGATGATAATCTCACAGATTTTTCCCAGGAGTGCACAATTTGTCCCTCTGCGTGAAAATTAAATCTGTAGAAGGGAACAATTAAGTTTTTCATGAGTCATCTTTGGTGCCATTATGTGCACATTCACAATAAAATTTTTTTGAGGCTCTTCAGTTAGTTTGCCTTGTCTACATTCTGTGTAGAGACAAAACTGTCAAGCTGAAAATTTAAATAATTCTTTCAGTGTCATCATAAACTATTTTAAAAAGGCTGCACATACCCAGCTCTGCCAAGGAATGGGCATAGAAATCGGGTAGCTGATTCTGGCGATGACAGTTAAAACCTATAGATTTGGAAATCACAGAACTGCTACGGTATCAGATTATTTTGTATCAAGAAAACATGATAAATTGCAGACTTAAAGGGCTTTGTTCTCTAGATAAATTCCATGAGAAGGAAATGTGCAAAGCAAGCCTCTGCTCTCAGGTTCAGGTGGCTAAAATACAACTTCATATTATGAGCC